GAAAGCAAGTGCTATGATTCTATTTTGTGTTAAAGATGTTTTCACTGCAGAAAAATCAGAGCAGAGGGGGGAAAAACAACTCCCACGGCTTAAGCTGCTTGAGTGCAACAAAATGGCTGTGGGGCAGGGGTTGGAAAGGCAAAGAAAGCAGAAATGCCTAAGGTACAGAGAGAAGATGTCAAGTCCACACCGAAGAGCCCCCTTTTACTCAGTAATTAAATCCTGTCTCATGCTATGACTGACATTTAATTCTTTCTCTGTTGTGCCAATATGGTAGCCAACAGCTACTTGTGGCTCTTTAACTAGAAATTCAGTTCCTCAACCACACTAGCCACATTTCATCGGGTCAACAGCCACGTGTGGCTAGGGCCTAATGTATTGGGCAACACAGAGAACACCTCCTCTCCTGGCAAGAAGCTCTATGGGCTATCAATGTAAATGACACAGAAAAGCAAAAATAAAATTTAAATAGCTTAACAATCTCTTTCATATAACACAGCAAATTCTTTTCTTAAAATCTGGATTTACTTTGTTCGTGAACATTTCACATAGAAGCATTAGAGGTTACTTCATTTCCCATGCCCACTCTATGGATTAAGTTGACAGGGAATGGGTATTTGTCTCATTTTTTTCCCCAGAAGTTAAAAAATATATGAAAGTGCCTCTAGATACTAAGTACTGTTTAAATATTTATACTGAACACCAGTGAACAGAATGTTAAAGAAAGTAAATTTGAAAGCACTTGCTCCTTTTCTCTCAACTCCCAAATAAAGCTGTTGTGCAAAACCAGTGCTTTTAAGGTACATTAAATTCCTACTCCTTACTATTTCAGTGGGACTGTGCCATGTTATTAACTAACCAGTGCTGGCAGACATTTCCCAGAGCAGAACACTAGTAAAAATTATTGCAAGGCCGTAAGATGCAACAGGGACATAAAACAGAAAACTTCCCAAAGAACTTCTTCAAATGCTTTTATCTCTGGTAACACCACAGTCTCCCAGTTTTCATCCTGACTGATCCTTTTTTGATGTCCTTTGCCCGCTTCCTCTTCTACATCTCCAAATGTTAGCCTTTGTGGGTAGGGATAAGAGTAGCATGTCAGTCCTGAGCCCTCTTCTCATTCCACACTCTCCTCTAGGCAATTCTATCCATTCCTACGGCTTTAAATACTTACCATGATAAATGCTCATCACTCTAAAATTTATATGTATCTTTTGAATTTCAAATCTGGATATCCAACTACTTGCTTAATATTGCCACACAAATGAATCACAGGCATCTTGAACTTAACCATTCCAAAATCGAACCTGCTAATTTCCTCTTCCCCAAGTCTGTTCTTCCCTAAGCAATTTACTACTGCCCCCATTGTATGGCTGTGAGCATAACTGACGCCATTTTGGGCCTTTAGAGCTTCTCCCGTCCTTTTGCTGACGCAACCCAGGACTGTAACGTACAGTAAATCACTTCTCTGTTGTCACGGGCTTTGTAGATAATAGATATTGTTTAATAATCATCAGGACCCAGTAGCCCCTATGCTCTGTTAGTCCCCAAACAATGATGAAAACCTTCGCTGACATATATTCCTGGCGCCCATGAGACTAGTACCCATTCATAAATCTTGACTTAGGAATGCACGTCCTGTTTCCAAGCACCTGCTGCCCCCACCCCATAAACCCCAAACCCTAGGTTAACTGCAGAATTGTCCCAGTGGCCCCCTGGGCGGGGCAGAGCGCAGCTGCGAATGCTTCGAGTTGTCTGTCTAATCCTACCCTGACAGTAAGTTACCCTATAATAAACTGATCCATTGATTATATGGAGCTACCTGCCTCCTTTTTTGGTCTCAAGATGCCTTCTCGGTTTAATGAGTACTTTTTGTTCCCTCCACCCTCCAACACCCATCCACTCAGTTGTGCAAACCAGAACTAGAAGCCATCCTTGATAACTCCCCCTCACTCCCTCCCAATATGAAAGCCATTATCAGGTCTTATTGATTCTGCCTCCAAACTGTATCTTAGATCCATCCAATTGTCTTCAAATCCACTGACATCTCTCTAGTCCAAGCCACCTGGACAATTGCAGTAATCTAGCAGGCTTCTTTACTCTGTCCTTGATCCCCTGCAATCCACTCTAAACACAGTAGCCAGTGTGATTTATTTTTTTAAGTTGCAAACCACTCTGTGTTTTCTGTATTCCATGTCAATAATCATAATACGAACTAACAAATATAAGACAAAAGAAATCTGAGATTTATAAACCCCAGATAATGTTGAGAATGTTTATTGTCAGTGTGAACCAGTTTTCTCTATCTTTAAGCTGAGAGCCATCTTTTAAAAAACGTAAATGAAATCATTTCACTCCCCTACTTAAAATCTTCAATAGCTTCTTACGGCTCTTAAGGTAGAAATCCTTTTGAGGACTTCTTTCTCAGCCCCTGCATCATCTGGCCCCTTCCTAACTCTCCAGGTTTACTGCAAGGCACTCTTGCGGAACCCTTGCTCACTGTGGTCAAGCCACTTGGCTTTCTTTTAGCTCTAACATGCCAAGCTCTTCCCAGTTACCATTTCCTTTGTCTGGAATGCTCTTCCCTCTGACTCTCTAAGTAACTAAATAACTTATCCTTCAGGTTTTCGTTTTAAAATTCCTTCCTTGACACCACAATTGAAGTTAAATACCCCTATTGTTTCTCATCATAACCTTTATTTTTTATTCAAAGCATTTGCCACATTTGTAACCATGTATTTGTGTCATTTTTGCTTATTTGTTCCATTGAACCAACGACTGGAAATAAGACTAAGGAAGTCTACACATGAGGAGAGGGCTTAAATAACCACATATTGTTCTTAGTGGGCCTAGGATCCCACTACAGAAACAGCAAGCAAGTTCTGGCCTTTTGTTTCCTCTATCAAACCTTCTTGTCATTGCAACTGGAAAGCTTATATCTATTTTAACCATGTATACAAGTATACATTTGTACATACACATGCAGAGGATCTAAAGCAGTTCATTTCAAATCATAGATTTTGCAGCTGGGCTACTATTTCCTTCTCCTGTCATTTATATCAGGCAATATTTCATAAAATGACAACCTCCTGTAGCTGGAAGGATCCTTAGAGATTACCTAGCCCCACCTACTCATTCTGTAGATGGGGAAACAGAGATCCCAGAGACTGATATTAAGGGTTTCTCTGAATATTCTTCCTTTATGCAGATCTGACTGGCTCTTTATAATGTAATCCCTATATTTCATTGATTATTGCTGTAGGCTTTATACTAGAAATATTCTGTATAATCAAGAATGCTGGTGACTTTGGATAGGTTGCTGGGATCTTAGTGTCAATCCCAAATTCAGTAAAACTCAGAAAACTGAATCAAATCCCTCAATCTGAAAGGTGATGCATTCTAATTTGATGGGATGCCTAATTACAAAAATAACTGGTGAAGCCCAGGTGACACTACCATCACTCAGCTAAGCAGGAGGATCTGTGGCACAGTTGTCGGCTTATAGCCTACAATCAAGACGATTTTTCATTGCTGGCAGCTGCATGTTTAATTGGTCCTCCAGCTAAGGCTGCCCTGAAAGGTTCTGCAATGGGGTGAACCCATCTTTCTTGCAGCATCCATGGATATTCAGGAGATTAATATTCATCCACTCGCAACAGGGAAGGCATATTATGAAGAAGGCACTGTTTTGGGTCCCGGGGATGGTGTAAAATCAAAACCACCTCCTCAGTCAGTAACCCCTGACTGTATTTGACTAAACTTCTAACTCCTTCACTGCTTACCAGCGACCAAATGACGACAGGACAGTGAACTGCAGAAAGCTGCCACTCTCAAAATCCTTTGACTAAGAATGCTCAAGGATAGGAAACCTGGGAAGAGGGTTCACAACACATTCTGTTTTCTAACATCAGGAATCTCAAAATCCCGGAGCTAAGAGAGACCCAGGAGGACATCAGCCCAATTCTCATTTTATGGATTAAGAAACAAGAGGTCCAGGAAAGGAAAAGTGACTGCTTCAGGATACAAAGTTTGACAAGATGACTAAAATGCCTCTTTTTCATAAATATTATTGTGCCTTATTAGGCTTTTAAAAACACACATTTGTATTAAAAAACTGTTATTCACACATCTATATATGGCTTTCCTCCAACCCGCCTTGGTGAATTCTTTCAACTAACCAACATATCTATTTGAAAGGGAAAGGGTGGGGGGGCTTCCCTGGTGGCTCAGTGGTTAAGAATCCACCTGGCAATGCAGGAGACACGAGCCCTGGTCCAGGAAGATCCCACATGCCGTGGAGCAACTAAGCCCCTGCGCCACAGCTACTGAGCCTGCGCTCTAGAGCCCGCAAGCCACAACTACTGAGCCCATGTGCCACAATTACTGAAGCCCGCGCGCCTAGAGCCCCTGCTCCACGACAAGAGAAGCCACCACAATGAGAAGCCTGCGCACCACAATGAAGAGTAGCTCCCGCTCGCCGCAACTAGAGAAAGCCCGTGAGCATCAACAAAGACCTAACGCAGCCATAAACAAATAAATAAATAGATAGATAGATAGAAAGGGAAAGGGGGGGAGCATATTGATAGTAATTGAAATCTTTTATGTTTGGTGCGTTGAATGGATTATCTCATTTTATCCTCACAACCCTCATAGGGTTCTTCTGCCTTAACAAATGAAGAAACTGGAGCCTCAGGACATTTAACTGTCTCAGAGTGGTTACAAAGTACTCCAGGTCTCACTCCAAAGTCTACATTCTAGCCTCTACCTGACTGCTGACATCACCGATGAATAAGCAGCCTCTTGATTTAGGAAAGAACATGCTTATTGTAAAATTCAAAAGCAGAATCACACTTTCTTGTTAATAATCTTTTTCAAAATGTAAGCCAAAAACTGTTTACATCCCTGTTTTCTTTGGGTTTTGCTTATGTCTGAATTAAAAACAATGAGAGAGTCTGAATTATGAAGTTTTTCAGCAGATAAAAACACATTTTCCCCATAAACTCAATAAAAACACCAAAAAAGCCCAGACACCCCAAAGGGAACCAAAGAAAGAACAATCTGTGCCCTTTCTAATCACCACCAAGTCAGAGAACTTTCAAACCTCACTTTACTCTCCAGATCCTTCCCCAACAACATGAGCAACAATTACCTCATTTGAATTTAATCCATCAACTGCAGCCAGAGGCACTTTCCCATGCAGCACTGTGCCAGTCACCTCTTTCACTCCAAATGCTGGGGAATCAAGGTCCTCCTTGATCCACATTCCAGCAGGGGAAGCCTCCTCTAGAACAGGACTTCGTTCTTCTAAGACAGGCACTGAGTCAGTACGGGCAGTATCTCCCTGGAAGGGTACGCCAGCAGGGAAAACTTCCTCCACAGCAGGCACTGCAGCAGCCGGGGCAGCAGGCTCCCCTGGGGTGGGCACTGCAGTAGTAGGGGCAGCAGGCTCCCCTGGGGTGGGCACTGCAG